GGGGGATTTGAGGATTTAATCTCAATAAGAAATGGGTAAGGGTAGTTTTGGTATTTTTGAAAATATTATACAAAGATACATTGTTTAATGGAAAATGGGTTTAAAGATAAATAGGCTGTGAATTTTGGGTTTATTGGTTTAGATGAAACTTAATGAGACTTTTAATAAATAGGGGTCAAAGTTTTTGGGTATAAAAGGAAAAACCCCTTTATTAAATCCAAAATGGTGAGGAGCGGACCAAGTGTCATTATTCACCACAACTTGAATTAAACAGTAGATAAATCTCCTTTGTCCTCAACATAGTAAGTTAAGTTTCCTATAATCAAAGAACATCCCCTAGTTAAATAGCAGAATCAACAAGATTTTAAGCTTTACATAACCCAAGAAAACAACAAGAAACTCACACGGCCAGAGCTTAGAACGAGTGCACTGGCTATCTAACTTCCCCTTCACCCATATCTTCAATAGAGATATCATTAAACTTGTGAAGAGCCATAACCACTCGAATGGAACTCACTATCTTCTTATTTGGTCCTCCTGTCAGAAAATTTAGGTAATACACAATATTAGCAATAATGTTCAAACTTTCAGCCTTAATCCCATTAAATATTACATCATTTCTTGCCCTCCATGAACACCAGTAGCTTGATGGGATAAGAGCAGGGGCGTAGCCAGGAATTTTTTTTGCCCTGGGCGCAAAATAAAGGGTTTCGGAGATGATGCAGTGAGGAAGTCGGAGATGATACAGTCAGGGTTTCGGTCGGCGATGATGGGCTCGAGGAGAGGTTCTCTTTGCCGAGGGGGTGGTGGCTCTTGTCAGGGGAGGGGAAGGGGACAGTGACGATTGAGAGTTTGGCGGGAGTGGTGACGAGGGTCGCGCGGACGCCGCAGGAGGAGAAAATGACGGCCATGTCGACCATCGGGATGAAGTGGCCTGGACTCAAGGGGAAGAAGAGGATGAGGAGGGGTTTCTCGGAATTTGAAGTCATAGTTAGACTGCACGATTATAAATCAAACCAGTTTAAAGGTTTTTGTATGTTGTCCATACTTAATAGAAGAGCAAGTAAAGAATTAAATCCTGCAGTCTAAAGATTTTATGGACAACATACAAAAACCATAATGTGGGTATTATATATGTTAACTTTCATTATGGTATTATATATGTTAACTTTCTTACCCTGGGCAGCTGCCCAGGGCAAGCTCTATGTGGCTCCGCCACTGGATAAGAGTGTTCCATAAGGCCTTCGATGAATATTGGCAAAGAAAATTTCCTTTTCTTTGAATGAGTGCTTGAATAATGTGATTATGCACTCTTAAACCAAATTTACTAAAGAGAAAAAATCAAACTATTGGATCTGAGATGTATGCAGCAAAATTAAAAAAAAAGAAAAATAGTAAACAATACAAAACATAGAAAATAATGACAGACAGAATACACAAGATTTTTTTAGTAGTTTGGATAAAATAATCCTATATCCACTCTTTTTCTCGCGAAGGTGGTTTCTCACTATGTGAAAGTTCTCCTAAATCACAAATCTAATTCAGTAGGCTTACAAGACTGAAACCCTAGTTTTTCACAAATTAGTCATCTAACCTAAACTCTTCACACATGAATATCCCTAATGCTAGCTAGTGACCAGTTCATTACTTCAATCCCGGCTTGAGTCTGTGAACCCTTAATGACGACAACTTAAGTATGTCATAAAAACAAGTTTGATACGAAGAAATAAATAATAATTAAGCGTAACTAGAAAAATCTTACAGCCCTTTGATTTTGCAAACCATTCTCCTAATGATTGAAGCAAAGCTCCAAGAATAACAACGACAATAATAAAGTCTAAGGGTAGCACTCCTCAAAGGTTGATGATTGGATGGTGAAGAAAGAAGTTGATGATGCTTTCTAAGAGGTCTAAGCAAGATCCTTTCACCAAATTGAAACCCTCACTCCCCCTCCATCCCTCCCTCTTTATTTTTCTCTCTCAATTAGGTTAGAAATCTCTAAAGAAAAATGTGAGGAATGACCTATATACACCTAGCAATGAATGGCTCAAATTAAAATAAAAAATAGATCAAGATTCTAAATTTTTTTGACTTAACCATCAATAGTCGAACTTAACCGTCGATGGCTAGGTTGTAATAATTGTTAATTTGAATGTTTTTGGAATTTTTTACCATTAATAATTGATAGTACTATTGGCGGTCTATATATCAGATTGAGAGCTTTTTGAAAAGCTATAATAGTAATGATTTTAATAACCGAATCAAAAGTTGTAGCTCATGCAAATTTTAGCCTCGTTGGCCATCATGATTAAGTGGCAGATTTCATAATTTTGATTTATTTTTTGTTTTAATCTAAGCCATGTATTGCTAGGTATATATAGGCTCCATACTCACATTTTTATCAGAGATTTTTGACCAATTTCAAAGAGAGAGAGAGAGAGAGAGAGAGAGAGATTCAAATTAGTGAAAAGATCTTGTTCAGACTTCTTATGAAGCATCCTCAATAGCGTTCTTCATCATCTGATCACCAACCTTCAAGGAGTGCTTCCTTAGACTTCATCAACATCGCCGTTCTTCTCAGAACTTCACTTCAATCATTAGGGGAATGGCTTGCACTATCAA